TAGAGGACCCTTCGGGATTGTCAGAGCAGCAAAATGCAGTTCATTTTAGGAGCCCTGTTTACACTGGAAGAAAGACAAACGATCCAGGCTGCGGGTATTAGAATTTGGGAGCAAGAAAATCTACCCGATGTCCCAGGGGGAGTCCTAGGGGAACAGAAGTTCCCTGTGACAAGACCTGCCTGGGACCAGAATAATGCGGAGAAGGAGGAATAATATGTCTCATTACAGAAGATTGGTCATTAGGGGAATAAAGGAGACAATCCCAAAAGGACAGAACTTTGATAAGGCTTTTGAAAGCACACAACAAAAAGATGGATCTCCCATAGATTGGTTGGAAAGGTTAAGGAAAAATATGCAACAATACTCAGGAACAATGTTGTGGGGTGAGAGTTGTTAAAAGTTAATTTTGTCACTAAGGCATGGCCTGATATAAAGAAGAAGTTAAAGAAATTGGAAGACAGGCATGGTCAGGATTTGAATGAATTGTTGTGAGAGACTCGGAAAGTGCATGTCAGGAGAGATGATGAGAAAGTGAAGTGAAAGTGAAGCGGTAGTCAGAGAGAGATTGTCAGATTGTAGCAGAGGTCCCAGTCGTGGTCCACAGCGCAAGTGTGGAGAACACAGGGCTCAGTCGGCTGGGGGAGGGAACCCTCACGGGTGGAAAGCGGGTCCTAGAAAGTGTTTTCATTGTGGGAGAGAGGGACACTGTAGGAGGGAGTGTCCGATGAGGCAGAGAGAAGATGGAGTGGTCCGACTAATGGAGCGAGATGATCCCCAAGAAAAGGGGTGTCAGGGGCTTTACCTTCTGGAGTCTAACCATCATATTGAGCCCTTGATAAATTTAAAATTAGGACCCGGAGAAGGAGGAATAATATGTCTCATTACAGAAGATTGGTCATTAGGGGAATAAAGGAGACAATCCCAAAAGGACAGAACTTTGATAAGGCTTTTGAAAGCACACAACAAAAAGATGGATCTCCCATAGATTGGTTGGAAAGGTTAAGGAAAAATATGCAACAATACTCAGGAACAATGTTGTGGGGTGAGAGTTGTTAAAAGTTAATTTTGTCACTAAGGCATGGCCTGATATAAAGAAGAAGTTAAAGAAATTGGAAGACAGGCATGGTCAGGATTTGAATGAATTGTTGTGAGAGACTCGGAAAGTGCATGTCAGGAGAGATGATGAGAAAGTGAAGTGAAAGTGAAGCGGTAGTCAGAGAGAGATTGTCAGATTGTAGCAGAGGTCCCAGTCGTGGTCCACAGCGCAAGTGTGGAGAACACAGGGCTCAGTCGGCTGGGGGAGGGAACCCTCACGGGTGGAAAGCGGGTCCTAGAAAGTGTTTTCATTGTGGGAGAGAGGGACACTGTAGGAGGGAGTGTCCGATGAGGCAGAGAGAAGATGGAGTGGTCCGACTAATGGAGCGAGATGATCCCCAAGAAAAGGGGTGTCAGGGGCTTTACCTTCTGGAGTCTAACCATCATATTGAGCCCTTGATAAATTTAAAATTAGGACCCCAGAAGGAGGAATGTGTGTTCCTAGTGGACACAGGAGCAGAAAGAAACAAGTATAACCAAAATTCCACAGGGACATGAGACTGGGAAACTCATGACTAATGTGGTTGGGATAAAACGGGAAAGGTTTCCAGTCCCTATTGTGGAGCAAGTAACTGTACAGGGGAATCACCAAGAAGTAAAAATGGACTTAGTGGTGATACCTGAGGTAGGAGCAAATTTATTGGGAAGGAATTTACATTGTTAAGCAAAATACCTCATGAACACAAGTGGTTCAGTGTAGTAGACCTTAAAGATGCTTTTGGACCTGTCCCCTGGTGGCAGAAAGTCAGGACATGTTTGCCTTTGAATGGGAGGACGCAGTAACAGGGAGGAAGCAGCAATTTCAGTGGACTGCTTTACCACAGGGGTTTACTGAATCGCCCAACCTTTTTGGGCAAGTGTTAGAACAAATACTTCCTCCAGGGATCAAGCTGCTTCAGTGTGTAGACGATTTACTAATATCTGGGGAAGAGGAGGTGGAAGTTCGATCTGCCACCATCAAATTACTAAACCTCTTGGGAGAAAAGGGGCACCGAGTCTCAGAAACTAAGTTGCAATTTGTGGAGAGGGAGGTGAAGTACCTTGGGCACTTGATCAGCGAAGGGAAAAGGAAGATAAACCTGGAACGAATTTCTGGTATTGTAGCAACCCCGATTCCAAGGAGCAAAAAGAAATAAGAAAGTTTCTGGGCCTTCTCGGATACTACTAAACCTCTTGGGAGAAAAGGGGCACCGAGTCTCAGAAACTAAGTTGCAATTTGTGGAGAGGGAGGTGAAGTACCTTGGGCACTTGATCAGCAAAGGGAAAAGGAAGATAAACCTGGAACGAATTTCTGGTATTGTAGCAACCCCGATTCCAAGGAGCAAAAAGAAATAAGAAAGTTTCTGGGCCTTCTCGGATACTGCAGACTATGGATTGATAATTTTAGCCAACATGTTAAATTTTTGTATGAAAAATTGCAGGAGGAGACAGAAAAGCCTGAGTGGACAGCAGAGGAGCAGCAGTTTGAAGAACTAAACCAAAAACTAATATGGGCACCTGTATTGTCTCTTCCCTCCCTAGAAAAGCCATTTCATCTCTATGTTAATGTTGAGGGTGGGATAGCCTATGGAGAGTTAGCTTAGGCCTGGGGAGGGCAGAAACAACCAGTAGCCTATTTGTCCAAAGTATTGGACCCAGTGTCACGAGGGTGGCCAACCTGTGTGCAAGCGGTGGCGGCAACAGCTTTACTGGTGGAGGAAAGCAGGAAACTGACCTTTGGGGGAACATTGATGGTATCCACTCCTCACATAGTGAGAACAATATTAAGCCAGAAGTCTGGAAGGTGGCTGACTGATTCTAGGATTCTGAAATATGAAGCCATCTTAATGGAAAAAGATGACTTGATTTTAACCACTGAAAAAAGCCTTAACCCTTCTCAATATTTATATGGGAAAGTTGAGGAGGAGGTACCAGGGCATAATTGTCTTGATATCATACAATATCAAACCAAAGTTTGAGAGGATTTAGGAGAAAAAGCATTGCCTGAGGGAAAGAGAATATTTATAGATGGAACATCTCAATGTATAAATGGGAAGCGTCACAGTGGATATGCAATTGTAGATGGTGTACAAAACAGTGCCGTGGAAAAAGGAAGGCTCCCAAACTCCTGGTCAGCTCAGACGTGTGAACTATATGCCTTGAAGCGAGCTCTGGAGCTATTGGAGGGAGGAAATGGAACAATATACACAGATTCTAAATATGCCTTTGAAGTAGTTCATACCTTTGGGAAGATATGGAAGGAAAGGGGGCTAGTCTCATCTAGAGGAAAAGGATTAGTGCAAGAACAACTGGTGTTGGAAGTGCTGGAAGCCTTGAACAAACCAGAAATAATTGCTGTGGTGCGTGTGGCTGGACACCAAAAGGGGAATACACTAGAAGCCAAGGGTAACAGATTGGCTGATGAACAAGTGAAGGAGGCAGCCCTAGGAAAGGTCATAGAAATGTGAATCTTAATACCTGGTAAAGAAGCACCTATTAAGCTACCAGTATTCACTGAAGAATATGAGAAATCCTTTCAAAAGATGGGGTGTGTAGAAACCCAAGAAGGTAAATGGATTCTCCCGGATGGGAGACAGCTGTTAAATAAGGCAATCACTCGAGAGATACTGTCCAGACTGCATTCAGAAACCCATTGGGGAACACAAGCTTTATGTGACCAATTTTTTGAGAACTTATGGTTGTTTGGGTGTGTGTGCTGTGGCCAAACAGATAGGAGATCACTGTTTAGTTTGCCAGAAAGTAAATAAAAGGTGATGAGAAAAACCCCTAAAGGAGGGCGAAGATTAGCCCTCAGACCATTCCAGAGTATCCAAGTGGATTACACAGAGCTCTCTAAGGTACAAAGGTGGAAATACCTGTTAGTGATAGTGGATCATCTCACGCACTTGGTAGAGGCCTTCCCTGCTACTACTGCCACTGCTCTGAACGTTGCCAAGATTTTACTAGAGCAAGTTGTTCCCCGATATGGAATAATAAAAAGGGTACATTCTGATAGGGGAACTCATTTCACTTCTAGACTATTGCAGGTGGTATGTACAGCTTTGGAGGTACAATGGGACTTCCAAACCCCCTGGCATCCTCAGAGCTCTGGCAGAGTTGAGAGGATGAATGCAACAGTAACTCAGGCGGCCAGGATAAGAGTATAAAATATCTAAGAGCTAAAAGATTGGTGTGCCTCTGCTTTGAGATGCACCCGATTCAGCGCTGCTTTGTACAATAAATTTTTATACCTTTGCTTTGGTAACTTTGTCCCCTTTAAATTCTAAGATGTGAGTCGGTGTTTCTCACAGGAAGGAGCCAGATGAGCACTGCTCTTTTGGGACGTGAAAGCTGCAGTGCTGGTAGAAGGTGAAGTGAATGGTGGCCAAGCAGCGTAGGGGGAGGGGGGGAACACACATCATCAGAGCCAAAACGGTCCCACCTGGGACTCACCAGGTCTTTATTTTCATGCTCTCTGCAAGACACCCGCAGTTCATGGACACCGATGCAGGAAAAGTACCTGGTTTCTTCCCCTTTACATCTCCCTTTCCATTTCTATATGGCAATTTCTGCTCCTCAAAACCCGAGTGCCCCCAAAAGAGAGGAACTGCCACCTTGCTCTGAATGGCCTGCCCTACGGGAAGGTTGTCCCTCACTTGGCTTCTTAAACAGAAGCACTCAACCCCAGGAAGATACAAGCACTTCTAGAAGACCCTTCCTGAATTCAGAAAAGACGTCCCCAGCACACCTTGGGAGCTGCGAAAGGGGGTGGGAAAGCACCCAGGGGGACCACGCTTTCACCGAGCCAGCAGGTCGCTCACACACCACTTCTGCCCCCGACCCTGGAGTGGGGTGCTCCGGGCATCAGAGGGAGAGGACACCCTGTGTCCCCCCAACACTGGGGTGAATGCAGCAGGTCCGTGCTCATCCCCACCCCTGAGGGCACTGCGAGTGCCAAAGGGGTGATTTATTTACCTGTTATAGATGTCATCATCTTCGCCACCCCAGCCCCAGTAATTGTTTGGGAACCCGTTGATCTTTGTGAACTGCTCTTTGCTCAAGGCAGACACACCTCCGAAAATCTGATTGTAAGGCAACCTGGAAGTGGGGAGAAAGGGCCATTAGAGGAGGAGAGGTGCTAGCCAAGGAACAGAACGCCCACCCGAAAAGGGCTTGCCGCTGCCCTCCAACCCCATCCCACAATGAGCCAGCATCCTCCACGCGGTGCTTCCATGCAGCAGGGAACAGTTTTGGTGCCCTGGATTCACTCAAAGCAGAGGGTGCTGGTGGGCTCAGTCCCAAATCCAGCTGGGAAGAACTCTGCAACTGGCAATGGCTGCAGCACACTGAGAAGTGCACTGTCCTCAAAGGACAGGCCATTGAGATGCACATCACCTCGCCCAAGGACAGATGGTGACACACATGCCCAGGGAGCAGGAAGAACTCGGCAAGGCACCGGAGGTGCTGCAAAGCCTTCTCATCCTGCAGCTCCACCACTCACCTCCGCGCTCCCCCAGGGCCCAAAGTAAAGGTTGCAGCCCAAAGTGAGCCAGCAGCATGACCTTGCACGCACAAACCAACCAGCTCCTGCTCAAAACCAGGGGCCATTCACCAAGGGATTGAGAAGAGACCAAATTCAGACCCATAGCACCAGGAGAGGGCTCACACAGGGATCACTGTGTCCAGCAAGAAGGAGAAGCCCCTGGGGGCTGCATTTCTGCTCTAAGCTTCACCAAGCTGCAAGAGAAAAACTGCAGCTGCTGGGGTGCTGGGGATGGTCCTGCCCCGAGCAGGGCTTGGGTCAGGAGTGGAGACCTGCAGGGGTCTGGCCACCAGCACCACTGTTGTGTCTCTAGCACTACTGGCCACCATGGGGGCATGACCAGTTTTCACTTTATAGATCAGCTTTCAAACTCCCCCTTGGGGATCTGGGATAGAAGGAAAAAAAAAAAATAAAAGGGAAAGGAAAGGAAAAGCCAGACACATTTTTGTTTGCAGCAGCTTGCTGAACCCAAATGTATGCTGAAAGGTATTTCATTCTGCGTTGCTCTCAGATACCGGGGCAGGCCCGAAATCAAATAGCCAAAAATATTTCATTTTGCTCTTAAAATAGCATCTGATGTAGTCTTTTTGAGGCTGCACATAATTCCTGCTGTGTGAGAGCGTCTCACTTTTCAGACGGGGTGGAAACACTAGCTGTCTTCCAGCTTCCAGCCTGAAACACAAGAAGGGGAACGCGGGCACCTGCGAAACGACGGGCTCGTGGCTATTCCTCGCCCGACGTCCCACTTTCCAGACGCTGTGAGTCTCCATAACCCGCTGGCAGCTGCGCCTCTTCCCCTTCCTCCCCTCCAGCCCATCCTGCTCTCCGCCGGGAGCCAGGACAGGCTTTTGCCAGAGACATTTTCCCAGGCTTTCAATGGTGGGTGGGGATGTGCAACGCTGCGCCTGGCCTGCTTGGCTAACGGCGGAATTGGGAACAAAACGCCCCTCCAAAAGGCGTTCCTCACCGAAATCCGAATTTATCCACGTTGTGAGAGACTCGGAAAGTGCATGTCAGGAGAGATGATGAGAAAGTGAAGTGAAAGTGAAGCGGTAGTCAGAGAGAGATTGTCAGATTGTAGCAGAGGTCCCAGTCGTGGTCCACAGCGCAAGTGTGGAGAACACAGGGCTCAGTCGGCTGGGGGAGGGAACCCTCACGGGTGGAAAGCGGGTCCTAGAAAGTGTTTTCATTGTGGGAGAGAGGGACACTGTAGGAGGGAGTGTCCGATGAGGCAGAGAGAAGATGGAGTGGTCCGACTAATGGAGCGAGATGATCCCCAAGAAAAGGGGTGTCAGGGGCTTTACCTTCTGGAGTCTAACCATCATATTGAGCCCTTGATAAATTTAAAATTAGGACCCCAGAAGGAGGAATGTGTGTTCCTAGTGGACACAGGAGCAGAAAGAAACAAGTATAACCAAAATTCCACAGGGACATGAGACTGGGAAACTCATGACTAATGTGGTTGGGATAAAACGGGAAAGGTTTCCAGTCCCTATTGTGGAGCAAGTAACTGTACAGGGGAATCACCAAGAAGTAAAAATGGACTTAGTGGTGATACCTGAGGTAGGAGCAAATTTATTGGGAAGGAATTTACATTGTTAAGCAAAATACCTCATGAACACAAGTGGTTCAGTGTAGTAGACCTTAAAGATGCTTTTGGACCTGTCCCCTGGTGGCAGAAAGTCAGGACATGTTTGCCTTTGAATGGGAGGACGCAGTAACAGGGAGGAAGCAGCAATTTCAGTGGACTGCTTTACCACAGGGGTTTACTGAATCGCCCAACCTTTTTGGGCAAGTGTTAGAACAAATACTTCCTCCAGGGATCAAGCTGCTTCAGTGTGTAGACGATTTACTAATATCTGGGGAAGAGGAGGTGGAAGTTCGATCTGCCACCATCAAATTACTAAACCTCTTGGGAGAAAAGGGGCACCGAGTCTCAGAAACTAAGTTGCAATTTGTGGAGAGGGAGGTGAAGTACCTTGGGCACTTGATCAGCAAAGGGAAAAGGAAGATAAACCTGGAACGAATTTCTGGTATTGTAGCAACCCCGATTCCAAGGAGCAAAAAGAAATAAGAAAGTTTCTGGGCCTTCTCGGATACTGCAGACTATGGATTGATAATTTTAGCCAACATGTTAAATTTTTGTATGAAAAATTGCAGGAGGAGACAGAAAAGCCTGAGTGGACAGCAGAGGAGCAGCAGTTTGAAGAACTAAACCAAAAACTAATATGGGCACCTGTATTGTCTCTTCCCTCCCTAGAAAAGCCATTTCATCTCTATGTTAATGTTGAGGGTGGGATAGCCTATGGAGAGTTAGCTTAGGCCTGGGGAGGGCAGAAACAACCAGTAGCCTATTTGTCCAAAGTATTGGACCCAGTGTCACGAGGGTGGCCAACCTGTGTGCAAGCGGTGGCGGCAACAGCTTTACTGGTGGAGGAAAGCAGGAAACTGACCTTTGGGGGAACATTGATGGTATCCACTCCTCACATAGTGAGAACAATATTAAGCCAGAAGTCTGGAAGGTGGCTGACTGATTCTAGGATTCTGAAATATGAAGCCATCTTAATGGAAAAAGATGACTTGATTTTAACCACTGAAAAAAGCCTTAACCCTTCTCAATATTTATATGGGAAAGTTGAGGAGGAGGTACCAGGGCATAATTGTCTTGATATCATACAATATCAAACCAAAGTTTGAGAGGATTTAGGAGAAAAAGCATTGCCTGAGGGAAAGAGAATATTTATAGATGGAACATCTCAATGTATAAATGGGAAGCGTCACAGTGGATATGCAATTGTAGATGGTGTACAAAACAGTGCCGTGGAAAAAGGAAGGCTCCCAAACTCCTGGTCAGCTCAGACGTGTGAACTATATGCCTTGAAGCGAGCTCTGGAGCTATTGGAGGGAGAAAATGGAACAATATACACAGATTCTAAATATGCCTTTGAAGTAGTTCATACCTTTGGGAAGATATGGAAGGAAAGGGGGCTAGTCTCATCTAGAGGAAAAGGATTAGTGCAAGAACAACTGGTGTTGGAAGTGCTGGAAGCCTTGAACAAACCAGAAATAATTGCTGTGGTGCGTGTGGCTGGACACCAAAAGGGGAATACACTAGAAGCCAAGGGTAACAGATTGGCTGATGAACAAGTGAAGGAGGCAGCCCTAGGAAAGGTCATAGAAATGTGAATCTTAATACCTGGTAAAGAAGCACCTATTAAGCTACCAGTATTCACTGAAGAATATGAGAAATCCTTTCAAAAGATGGGGTGTGTAGAAACCCAAGAAGGTAAATGGATTCTCCCGGATGGGAGACAGCTGTTAAATAAGGCAATCACTCGAGAGATACTGTCCAGACTGCATTCAGAAACCCATTGGGGAACACAAGCTTTATGTGACCAATTTTTTGAGAACTTATGGTTGTTTGGGTGTGTGTGCTGTGGCCAAACAGATAGGAGATCACTGTTTAGTTTGCCAGAAAGTAAATAAAAGGTGATGAGAAAAACCCCTAAAGGAGGGCGAAGATTAGCCCTCAGACCATTCCAGAGTATCCAAGTGGATTACACAGAGCTCTCTAAGGTACAAAGGTGGAAATACCTGTTAGTGATAGTGGATCATCTCACGCACTTGGTAGAGGCCTTCCCTGCTACTACTGCCACTGCTCTGAACGTTGCCAAGATTTTACTAGAGCAAGTTGTTCCCCGATATGGAATAATAAAAAGGGTACATTCTGATAGGGGAACTCATTTCACTTCTAGACTATTGCAGGTGGTATGTACAGCTTTGGAGGTACAATGGGACTTCCAAACCCCCTGGCATCCTCAGAGCTCTGGCAGAGTTGAGAGGATGAATGCAACAGTAACTCAGGCGGCCAGGATAAGAGTATAAAATATCTAAGAGCTAAAAGATTGGTGTGCCTCTGCTTTGAGATGCACCCGATTCAGCGCTGCTTTGTACAATAAATTTTTATACCTTTGCTTTGGTAACTTTGTCCCCTTTAAATTCTAAGATGTGAGTCGGTGTTTCTCACAGGAAGGAGCCAGATGAGCACTGCTCTTTTGGGACGTGAAAGCTGCAGTGCTGGTAGAAGGTGAAGTGAATGGTGGCCAAGCAGCGTAGGGGGAGGGGGGGAACACACATCATCAGAGCCAAAACGGTCCCACCTGGGACTCACCAGGTCTTTATTTTCATGCTCTCTGCAAGACACCCGCAGTTCATGGACACCGATGCAGGAAAAGTACCTGGTTTCTTCCCCTTTACATCTCCCTTTCCATTTCTATATGGCAATTTCTGCTCCTCAAAACCCGAGTGCCCCCAAAAGAGAGGAACTGCCACCTTGCTCTGAATGGCCTGCCCTACGGGAAGGTTGTCCCTCACTTGGCTTCTTAAACAGAAGCACTCAACCCCAGGAAGATACAAGCACTTCTAGAAGACCCTTCCTGAATTCAGAAAAGACGTCCCCAGCACACCTTGGGAGCTGCGAAAGGGGGTGGGAAAGCACCCAGGGGGACCACGCTTTCACCGAGCCAGCAGGTCGCTCACACACCACTTCTGCCCCCGACCCTGGAGCGGGGTGCTCCGGGCGTCAGAGGGAGAGGACACCCTGTGTCCCCCCAACACTGGGGTGAATGCAGCAGGTCCGTGCTCATCCCCACCCCTGAGGGCACTGCGAGTGCCAAAGGGGTGATTTATTTACCTGTTATAGACATCATCATCTTAAAAGGGAAAGGAAAGGAAAAGCCAGACACATTTTTGTTTGCAGCAGCTTGCTGAACCCAAATGTATGCTGAAAGGTATTTCATTCTGCGTTGCTCCCAGATACCGGGTGAGATGCACATCACCTCGCCCAAGGACAGATGGTGACACACATGCCCAGGGAGCAGGAAGAACTCGGCAAGGCACCGGAGGTGCTGCAAAGCCTTCTCATCCTGCAGCTCCACCACTCACCTCCGCGCTCCCCCAGGGCCCAAAGTAAAGGTTGCAGCCCAAAGTGAGCCAGCAGCATGACCTTGCACGCACAAACCAACCAGCTCCTGCTCAAAACCAGGGGCCATTCACCAAGGGATTGAGAAGAGACCAAATTCAGACCCATAGCACCAGGAGAGGGCTCACACAGGGATCACCGCAGACCTTATCTCTGTGTCCAGCAAGAAGGAGAAGCCCCTGGGGGCTGCATTTCTGCTCTAAGCTTCACCAAGCTGCAAGAGAAAAACTGCAGCTGCTGGGGTGCTGGGGATGGTCCTGCCCCGAGCAGGGCTTGGGTCAGGAGTGGAGACCTGCAGGGGTCTGGCCACCAGCACCACTGTTGTGTCTCTAGCACTACTGGCCACCATGGGGGCATGACCAGTTTTCACTTTATAGATCAGCTTTCAAACTCCCCCTTGGGGATCTGGGATAGAAGGAAAAAAAAAAAATAAAAGGGAAAGGAAAGGAAAAGCCAGACACATTTTTGTTTGCAGCAGCTTGCTGAACCCAAATGTATGCTGAAAGGTATTTCATTCTGCGTTGCTCTCAGATACCGGGGCAGGCCCGAAATCAAATAGCCAAAAATATTTCATTTTGCTCTTAAAATAGCATCTGATGTAGTCTTTTTGAGGCTGCACATAATTCCTGCTGTGTGAGAGCGTCTCACTTTTCAGACGGGGTGGAAACACTAGCTGTCTTCCAGCTTCCAGCCTGAAACACAAGAAGGGGAACGCGGGCACCTGCGAAACGACGGGCTCGTGGCTATTCCTCGCCCGACGTCCCACTTTCCAGACGCTGTGAGTCTCCATAACCCGCTGGCAGCTGCGCCTCTTCCCCTTCCTCCCCTCCAGCCCATCCTGCTCTCCGCCGGGAGCCAGGACAGGCTTTTGCCAGAGACATTTTCCCAGGCTTTCAATGGTGGGTGGGGATGTGCAATGCTGCGCCTGGCCTGCTTGGCTAACGGCGGAATTGGGAACAAAACGCCCCTCCAAAAGGCGTTCCTCACCGAAATCCGAATTTATCCACGGAAACGGAGAGGTGTCGCGGCTGGCTGTAACATTTGTAGATGTTCCTGTCATCCATTGGGATGAGGTCTACGTCACTAAACACAAAGCAATCATAGTCATATTCTTTCAAAGCCTCTGCGAATCCTATATTCATCAGTTTAGCACGGTTAAATTCTTCCTCTCCATCCTAGTTTAAAAACAAACAAATAAAAAAAAAAACCAATTAAGCGACTTAAATTTAACAGTTGACATCAGCAGTTTCTTACCTGCAGCTGGACTCTGGTGTCACCACACTGGGCTGGTGTGCCTGTGATGGACTGAGATCGAGCCCAAACACCCTCCCCCAGCAGCACCCACGGGAGCAAGGACACCCCCTCCCCCAGAATATCCCCCCCCAAGGGACGATGGCATCTGAGCCAGCTGCAAACCATGGGGGCAGCCAAAACGGCTGAGGAACGGCTGGACCCAGCTCAGCTCCCCCCCTCCTTGTGGAAGGCTCCAGGAGGGCAGATGTGATGCTGGGGGGTGTCCCCCCCCATCCCACCCCATGCACGGGCATTTTGGGATTCAGTTCTGTGATAAAGTTTACAGAGAGCAACCAGCTGGGGCTTCCTGGAGCAGCAGAGAAAAGCAAAAAAGAGATGAGCTCCTCTGGAAGAAGGGACCTTTGCTACAGAAAGAAACCCCGGCGGTGCTTTAGCTTACAGCCAGGACGAGCACCACAGAGCAAAACCTTTCTGCAGCCAGGACTTGGGACCTTCTTCCTAAGCTCTGACACAACACAGCTGCAGGACCCTGAGCACGCACCCACCAGACCTGACTTGCAAAGCACAGGGTGGCACCATGAGCTAAGGTCTGCCCCTCTGCCACCCGCTCCGGCTCCCACACCAAGCCCTGGCAGGATGCTCCCCAGGCCCTGGAAGGGGGGCTGCTGGCCCAGCACGTGGCTGTGACACACACAGCCTTGTTCACCGATGGCAGGATGGTGAGAGATGCTTCCTGCAAGGCCTCCTCCAGCTCACCTGCTGAACATCTGCGGTGCACAGCCCCTGCTTTGATGGTCCTCTGCCAGTCGGAGCGCGGCAGGACCCACCATCTGTCCCGGGGGGCTTGCCAGGAAAACTAAACCAGGATGGTTGTCACCATGACGGGAAGGGGAGCCAATATTGCAGCAGGGCACGTTCATCCCAGGGCAGGCACAGTTAACGAAGGAAACTCTCCACTCTCCTCCCTGAGCAATGAGGCGCCCAAGGAGAAATCGGTTTGGCCTCCCTCGGGCAGAAGCGCTTCAAAAGCCCACGTGGCTTTGAGCACAAGCACGGGCTCGCAAGTTGCTCGAGTACTTTCGAAAAACAACAGGATCATACCCACAAACCCAAGCATACCAGTGGTTTGAAAGTAAGGATTTCCAATCCAGGACCCGACTTTGCAGCAGCAGCTTCAGACCCAAACCCTGTGCAGGGGAACAGAGCGGGCGGAAGGGAACTCATAGGGCATCACTGTAGGAGGCTGAAGGGGGTTTTTTTGCCAGCCTGGAAACCAAGGCTGCCAAATCCTTTCTCCTCTACCTTTTCTCCTCCACATCCTCGGAGCAGTGTTGAGCCAAAGGACTCCCTCACCATGCAAGCCACCCCCCCGACCCTGCGGTATCTGCACCCAGCATGGGACACGAATCAGGGACAGGTGAAATACTGTGCCCAAGGAGCAGCAGCTTCAAACATCACCTCCACCCAAACAGATTTGCCTGATTAATAAATAATCAGTCTGGAAAATGTTTAATCCAGACTGGTTAATGGACCTGCGGCTGGAGAGCTATGCAGGTTCTTGAAACAGCCACAAATATCTTTCAAATGAAGGTTTTAACATGCAAGTGTCAAACCAAGGTTTTCAAAAGCATTCATCACCTGTCTCGGGCATAAAGGACTTCATAGGGAGGAGTGAGCTTTCGTGGAGGAGGATCTGAGAAAATTCTCAGCATCCTCACCCGAAACAAAAGGGTTCAAGCAGTAACTAAGGTGGTGGGAAGATGATCACCACCATGCATAAGCAAGAGCAGTGAAAACCTGCACAGAAAACGAAGGCAAGTCGAACAAAGGGGCCGGGGAGAGGGAGCAGCTGAGGCTGTGGGATCAGAGGGTTTTCTTCCCCGAGGAAGCAAGGAAGGCTGCCCAGCCCCAGCTGCTCCTCGAGTCCCACAGCACCAAACCCAGTCCCAAGAGGGACCACAGCCCTGGTGCAGCGTGCGGTGCTGGTGCGAGAGGGTCCCCAAGAGGGGGGCTCCCCCCACAAGAGGGACCTTCCTGGTGCAAAGTGCCATGTGCTCACACCTCAAAGCCCCTGCTGGGTCCAGCAGAGGAGAGCCTCCTCCTCCTCGTTTCACACCCTTTGGCCGCTCTTTTCATGGTGAAATTTCAAGGCAAAGGGCACTTCACACCAGAGGGTCAGGCTTAATTAACCCACACCTTCAGGTAGCCTCTAACTCCTCTGGGTGACACTTAGGGATTAACAATGGTACGAGGAGCTGTGTTTTTAAATCTCTCCCCGAAAAAAACCAACAACCAAAGCACAGCAGCAGACCAAGAGCTGTGCACAGGACCCCTCCTGCTGCCTCCCCCACCGACCCCACAGAGCCCACTCTGGGGTCCCACGCGTGGAGGGGGACCAGACAGAGGGCAAACACTTCACATGGACACTGCTGCTCTCCTCCTCAATGGCCACACAGCTTCACCCTGTGGGATCCAGAAGGCTTGGGGGGGGACAGGGGAGAATCACAGCCAAAAAAACCCCAAAACCAAAAATCCCTCTCCAAGACCCGTTTTAGTAACTTCACAGAGAGCAGGTAGCTCATGCAGCAAACCTTGCAATGACATTCCCAATTGCAGCCCCTCTGAGGGCAGGAGGCTGGTTTTCTGTCCCAGGATTTATGCAGGGCTTTGCAGCGTTTATCGCAGTGAAAAAAAAAAAAGACTGACAAGAGGTTTTGCTTCTTTGCAGAAAGCTCTGTTACTTTACCTAAAGCAACGTGGAAGCCCTGGTGTGCTTGCAGTATCTGAGATTCAAATCTCCCAAAATTCAGAAATGTGCAGCAGGCTTCCATCTTTGACTAATCCCCAACCTTTTGAAATGAAAAAAACCCAAAACAAACCCCAACCAAAAAGCATAGTCGGGAAATCTCCTTTCTATGCTGCTGTCCCTTCCAGGTCAGCACAGGGCACAGTATGACAGACAACCCTCAAGAGACCAGATAAAGCAGAACTCAAGGCACTTTCCAGCTCTCTCCTGCTTGGCAGCTCCTCATCCCATGGAGACTCCCTGTTGGATTACATCCACAAGGAAATGGATCAGTTTGGACTTGCTTGGGCAGAGGAGCATCATCCTGAAGAGCTAGGCAGCACACAGGGGAGTGCCGCTTTGACAATGCACCCAAGCTCTAGACATAGCCTTCACGCTTATCTCCTAGGCTTTCAAGCAGACAAGATGTATTCCAAGCACATTTTTGCTATTTTTTTTCTTGACAATTTTTTCCCTGTGTTCTCCTGTCCTGAAACTTAACCCATGTCTGAGTTCAGTGCCAGTGCCCAGTACCTGCTTCTGGCTCCTGATTTTACTGCCTATGTCTCTCACAGCACATCCAAGTCTATCCCCATTCACCGGTCCATGAGAGACTGGCTGAAAGGGGACAACCTGCTGCCTCAGTCCTGCAGGGTCGGACCTTCTTGCACAAGGAGCTGATCAGCCCAAGCAAAAGAACATCTAGGCTTTTTTACTTCCCATCCCTTATCTTTGCTGAATCTAGTTTGCTCAGCCAGACCTACCACAGGATGCTACCATTTTTTAGTGCCAGACAGATAAAATGGAGGGTTTTGGAACTGCCACT